GCGTACGCGACGCGACTCCTTCGGCGACGTCCTCTTGTTTATATTGATAATGTGCCATTTATTTTATTTAAGGCATGCGCTCGCCCGCTCGATTTGCAGTCACGTTCCGGAATCGGGACTCAGAAGACGCGGAGTGGACGTGGAGTGAGGAGAAGGCGGCGACTCCTGCAAGGCGACAGGACGAATGAATTGTGTAGGTTTCAGCAACTGCGAAATGGCACACTCGCACACATGTGAGTGTGGGCATGTGCAAGGACATGCCACAACTTGCTGTTGCATAATGCATTAAGTGCTGGTGGGAGAAATATCCTGGCCTGGCTGCAGGAGTTGCTCAGCTGAGTTATTGACTTGAAGTTTGTTGCGGAATTTCCAAGTGCAACGTGTGTAAGGCATAACAAATTAGGCGCGCCTGGCAAGCAGAATGTTGCAAGGATAATGTGATAGGTAGGGAGGGGCCAAAGGGTGGATATATGTATAATGGCACTTTATGGGGGACCAGACACTGCACTTGAAACTGATTTTCGGTGATGCCTTAAGCTAACGAGAGATTTACGCAGTCTTATGGCATTTAATAGGGTTTGCGAAAACAGACCCAAGGTGGGGGATTAAATTGTTAAGGTATCTTAGGGATTCTTCCCTTAGGGAATGTTTTGCACTTGATATTTCAAGCCTACGCAGACAATCGACTTTAAGGCAATCATTATCAAAAATTGTAAGCACGATTCCATGGCAACGGGCTAGCATGTCAAGTTGTTTCCTTTTTACCAATTACCCGAAAAAATCGCAATTTTTACAAATTGATTCAATGACAACCGCAAAGTTTTCGCTCTTTGCATTTACATTTTTTCTTCTTTCTCTTCTATTCGGTTCCTTTTCCCAACTATTGACGATTCCTCTTCGCTTTCAGTTCCGCTCATTTGTGTGCGCTCTATTTCCCATTTTCTGGGAAGTTTTTATTTAAATTGGATTTGCGCTTCTTTCTTTCCTTTGGTTTATTTTGTACATTAAGTTGCTCTTGCCATTCATTTCTTCTGCCCGGCTGCTTATTATTATTATCGATTTCAATGCTGTCCAGCGATTTTTCATGGCAAATTGGAGAAGCGAAAAAAATAGAGAGCAATAGAGGGACTGAGAGTAAGATGGACATATAATGGAATTAAAAATAATTGGATGACATTGAATATGTGGGTGAGTGAGCAGAATCAGGGTGCTGAAGTGCACGAAAAGGTCCTTGCCAGAGCCAGAGAGTTCCTGTTGTCTTTAAAATTTAATTACCAAAGTATTTCCGAGGCGACGCCCGAGGCGGACCGGAAATTCAAGCGTCAACTACGAAATTGGAATAAAGAACAACACAGAAGCCCCCGAAGGATGTCAAAGTGGTAAGCTTTGTTCCACAACCTACTATCTCCCTAGCTGCCTCTCTCTGTTTTATCTTCTGTTTTTTTTTTTTTTTTTTTTTTGCGAGCGGAAGAGTTGCCATTTTCATTTTCTTTTGCGAGCCCCGCCGCCATTTTCTTTCATTCTTTTCGACCATAATTTGCATGGCATGGGAACTTGACTTTTGATGGCCCGCCGAAAGGGAAAAGCGAGGAGAGCGTACGGCCGACGCGGAAAATATGTTGCAGCGGCAGTGTTGGCGGAATATAATAGAAAAATAAGGTGCCACACAATATGGCCGAGAGCTTTACAGTTGGTTAAGTAGCAAAAGCGCGCGAAAGGACGCCGGAGAGGCAGGCGGCGGATAAAGTGCCACCAGGCAACCGGCAGCCCAGAAAAACTCTCGGGGAAAATCGAGGGGCATTTTTCCAAGCGAGGTCGCCATCGCACAGCGCCAGAGCATGGCGTGAAAATTGTGTTGACAAGAAAATTATAAACCGGAAAATGTTTTATGTTGTGGCTATGCGATTTTTCTCCCTCAGCTCTCACTTTCGTTCTCCGCTGCTCTGGCTCTGGTTCTGACGCTTCCTTTCCAAGTGGCTTTTAAATTTTCAGATGGCTCATTGTGGTCAAATTAAATTGAGGGGAAATTACCAATGAAATGATGCCAATTTGCTGAAAGGGTCAGAGGTCGCTGGGCGAAATAAAGCAATGCTTGACTAAGCTAAAAGGCATTTAATTTGGAAAAGGATTTTGGGTTTTTCTTTATATATATATATTGTGGCTAGACCAAGAGTATACTGATACTTTTTAGTAACTATTTTAAATAGAAACTTGAGATAACAACCTATAACACCTTTAATCCCGGCATTGACCCAATTTCCCGCCTTCTAACTCTACTTTAACTTGTTCTTTGTGGGCCAAATGGCATTTGAAAGTCTACAATGCGGCAACGTAGCTATAAATTAGTGTCGCGGCCGCGGAGAAAGAAAAGTTTAAATACACCCAAGTACACGTGGCATACAATCACGGGACATGTACATAGGCCTTTCGTCCTCGAACTGTCGGCCATTATACATACGTATGTATATGTATTATGTGCTGGTTACTTGCCACGTTTAAGTTCGTTAAACATTTAAGCCCAGCTCGGTTTTGTGTGTCAAGCACACATACACATAAGGATATATGTATGTACGAGAATGAAAACTCTTGGTGGGGACAAAAAGAGGTGAAAATGAGTGCAAACACACTCGCCTACAATTACAGCACTCAAAAAGGGGGGGCGGCGATGAAGAAAAACGTGGGGAAAATGGGAAAAATGCGGAGACCGAGGCTGGTGGAGAAAAATGCTCGGCGAAACGAAATTGCTCGGCAACTTTACTGCATAGTTAATTAATAGGATAACACAATTAATTTGTGGGCAATGAATGTCTGAGCTTTATTTGCCGCCCAGCCAGGCAAAAACTACAAGTGCCCAAGGGTCACTGGGCGTGTATATGTGTGTGTCCTTTCCACATCCTTATCCACATCCAGCTTGCAGCTGCTGCCCCACACAGATGATGTGGATCCTGAAGTCAGAACTCGCTTATCACGCAGCTGTGGCTTCGGATAATTGCCAAAAGGCTTATGAGATTTTCATGGCAAAGGCCGACCCTCTCCTAATGATCCATCAAAGATAATTGGAATTGGTAGGGTCCGGTTAGATTAATGATGGCTCGGACACTATATTCGGATAAATAGTGGAGTCTTGACCATCAAATTATGAATATTAAATGTGAAATTCATTTTGCCACGGCTGAGATTAGATTGTACGAGATGTTACCTTCATTTTGATAATATTTAAACAAAGTAAAAAAAGAGAGAGTTACATTTTGAACCTATTTAAGACAATTTTAGAGGAGCTTTTAATTTATATTAAGAAAGCTAAGGAAGAAGCCTTATTTCTACTATCCTTATTTGAACACTAAGTAAAGCAGCTCTTTAAGTTCTCTATTTTAGGTTTGACATCTGTATTTCACTAAAAACTTTACAAGAACAGATATATATATTGAGACAAGCTTTATAAATATCTTATTTCCGCTTTTAACAACGAACAAAGAACATTGTGTAATATGACTAATACATTCATTGAGGCTTCGGCCCAAAAGGCAAACAAGGCAAAGATGGGAGGACCAGCCAGTGGCTCAATTAACGACGACTCCTCACCATCCAACCATCCGCAAAAAAAAAGTATATATGTATAACCGTGGACTCTCTGAGCCGAGGAGCTACTTACAAACATCAGTTTTAACTATTGTTTGCACACTCGACTCAAGAGCGAGGAGAACAAACTGGAGGTGGAGGCGGAGGTGGCAAAAAAGGACGAACTATGCCCAACTTTAAGGACCTAACTCGCTGTGGGTTCTTTTTTTTTTTTTTTTGGAATAACAAAAGGCCGTTGGCCAAACAAGCTGCTAGCGACGCCTAAAAAGCGGCAGCCAGAATTTTCAAAACGTAATTTTTTATGCTGTCACAAATTTGATGGTGATGCTTCCCCTCCCTCCTTTCTATCCTGATGATGATGGCATTTTGTCAGCATTATATAGTATACATAAAATACTCCACTTTATGTTGCCATTCTTTGGCAGTTGTTTGTTTTGTTGCGGCTAAAAAACAAAAAGCTTTATAAGAAAAACACCCGCAAAAACACGCAGACATACACCCGCCCACAAGAGAGGCAACTTAATTTTTTGTTGCCGCCATTGTCCTGCAGGAAGGAAAAAAGAGCTGCTTTCACCCTTTTGTTTTCACTCCTGCTAATTTGCCGCGTTGCCTTTTTGCTTCAATGGAAAAAAATTCAGGGAATCCGCTTTGCCTTTGATTTTGTCTGCCCTTCGGCAGGCAGGTTGTTTGTGTCAGGTAACAAAATGCAAGAAATTAACGAAAAGATCAATAGACTCGATTCCGGGGTAAAGGGGTTCTCTTACAGCTAAAAAAACTTAATTTAATATTTTAATTGTTTGAGCTTTACCTTGAAGTTGTCCATGTCTAAGAGTTGCGAGGCCTAAAAATCACTCGAACGGTGATAAACAGTATTGAGTTATTTAATTGCTTTATAATATTGCACAGAGAAAAACTTTCCTCCGCACTTCATTCTAATTAGGTTATAATGGGGTTTCGATTGGTGGTGGAACTCTCTTATTTGTAAGCCAAAAGCTGAAGCCTTCTACTCGGGACCCAAGACTCAAGCAAACTCACGCACACACAATTCTCAAGCTCAGCTCGGCGCTTCAGCTGCATTTAATTAAGTCTATTTTATTTGGTAGGCACTTAGAGAGACAGCCACTAAATATAGTGTGTATTTAAGTATATAGTATATATAGAAGCACAGAGATACCAAAAACAAAATGGAGTTTATAAAAGCACAAAAGCACAAACAACAAAAGCGAGACAAGATCAGTTTTCGTTGAGGCCCTAAAATCGGGGTTTTGGTATTTTGGATTTGTTCTTATTCATTTTTTTGTGGGATGAGAAATTAAAAGACTTGAAGCTTACGGTCTACGAGTCACACGAAGCAATAGAGGGGGGAGTAGGGGTGGTTTTATTTTCGTGAGGGGCTTAGGTTTGGGGGGGGGAATACTGACCTTGATGCTGTCGTAACAAGCGGTGACCTTGCCGTTCTGCACCTCCACGTTGGCCGGGGGATGGGCGAACTTGCACTCGGTGTCCTGGCGCGAACATTTGTTGCGCTGAAACTCCCGACAGACCTCCAACTGCAGCCAGCGCGAGTCCTTGCCGTTGAGCAGGCTGTTCATATTGACAACGTTGGCCATCGTGTTTTGGGGTTATATGTTTATATAACTATATCTGGTTACGGATCTGGGTTAGCTGGAGTTTATATAGTTTTAGCCTAGCGACTAGAAAATGTTTTTAAAGATTTCTTTTTTTGCTTTTTTGTTTTTCTTATTCGCTCCTCTCGCGGCACGCACACACAAAAAACACTAAAATCAAGAGCACGGATCAGCACCTATTTATGTGTATTACATATAGCATATAGATCTATAGTAGATGGTATGATTTCAGTTGGTTTTCTTTAGTTCTTTAGCGTTTTTGTGGAGTACAAAGCTTGTGGGGATAGCTGATAGCTTGGGCTATATAATTTTGATTCAAATCGAACGCTTATTCAAATATATATAGATGTGTGTTGGTGTATATATATCTATAGATAGACGCAGCTGTTAATTTTGTTTTTTTTTTATATATATATTTTACTGCTTTTTTTGTGTGTAAGCTGATTTTACATTATCTGAAATGAGAGTAAAAGAGAGAAATAGAACTTTAGGATCATACCAACTTGGTTTACATTCCAAGACAGATAAATAGAATGGCGAAAGACAGAGACAGATAGATAGATTTATATTCAAAGAGAGAGAGATAGAGCGATTCTAGATTGAAATGTGTGAGATGTGGAAACTGATCATGTTTGGTTCTTCAAGTACATATTCATTGGGGTTAGTAATGCGCAGATCGTTGGTGTTATGGTTTATGCAGAATGCAATGCTCAAATGATAAGACATAAACAAAAGACGGTAGACAGACATATCCATATTATAGAGTATTTATTTGCGATAGAATTCCTAGGCTAGATATGTATGAGCGAATGGTGTGCAAAAATAAAAGTCTCGTTCCATACAACTTATGATATAGTCACTAAAAATAGTTCGCCAGATATACATATGCACGAACGGATATCTGGCTGTATTTGTATATGTATTTATGAGTATATAGAGCGCGAGCAGCGATTGGCGTCCAGTTTGAAGCTTCCTGGAGGGGGGGCGCAGGGGTATTGCCAAATTGCCGAGAGCCAATAGCCACAGCCAAATAGTCAAATAGTCAAATAGCCAAATTAAGCCTAGCCCCTAAGGCAGTTCAGCGCAATGCACATAGACCAAATAAAAATTAATACTACGAATAAATATTATCAACTAAGGTGCACTAATGTTCGCAGAGATATACAGATTTATATATATTGTATATTGGGGTATCTTCCGCCACGGATCAGCGGTGTATATTTTGATTTTGTTTTTTTCGATCGTTTAGCCAAAGCAACATTTAAGAGAGAGACACCGCCGTAGAGACAGTCAGTCGTAGTTCTATCTCGAATTCTATTGGCAAATTTCTTTTTATAGCAAATGGAATAATATTGTTAAACGCACTTACCGATCAAAAGATATATATTTTATATTTTATCTTTATTCTCAATTAATTAAGTACTGGAAAAAATTGTATACATATATATAAATAAATATATTCAAATAAAATGCATTAGGGAATACAATATAAGCCGTCGAAGTAGGAGAGGAGTGAAAATAAGTGTTTCTGTAAAGCCGCAAATGATTCAATCATCGATGACGGCACACAATTTGATATTTATATTTTGTTGTTATTAGCATTTGAGGATTGTTTTTGTTTGTTTGCCTTTCCCCTCCTCCCCCCCTTTGCATTGTACTTTGTTTGAGTTTGTTTTTTATCTTTATTTGCCTGCCGGCTTGCAATAGTTGTTGTAATCGTGTGTGTGCCCTTAATCTTATCTTATCATCCGAAGCGGCATATGAATCAAAGTTTTCAAAAAATGAAAATCTATTAAAGCTTTTCCCTGCTGCTTTTATTTATTTGTATTCTGGGCCTGAACTAGGCTGGGAGAGTGTTCTCGGAAAATTACGAAAATCGATTATGAAATGGTAGAGCAAGTGTTGCAATTTAAATTGAAATAAAGAAAACGACAGGCTAAGGTATAATTTAAATGCTTAAAGTAAACTGTAGAGAAAAGGAAGGTTGTTTAAATACAAAAACCAAGAAAAGAAACTTTAAAGATTAACAAGAAACAATGTTTAAACTTTGTTTGTCTATAAACCTTGAGTAAATACAATGTGGCAACCAAAATAAATGTATAAAACAAAGATTAGTTTGTTTACCATGAGCTTTAAGTTATAGAAAAGACAAATATCTAAAAAAAAAAACAAATGCCTGATGGAAATTAACAAAATATTTAATACAAAACCAAAACCTTTTCAGCATTTTCCCATTCAGCTCAATCAGAATTATTCTGGAAATCAGAGACTACCAAAATTTCCTATCTCTAGACATTTGGCATTTCGAAAGATATGGCACCGACACACACCGACACTAAATTATCTCAGCCAAGTCAATTTGAAAAGATACCGGCGGCCAAGACAATTAATAAACTTTATAGAGTATACACACAGACACACACGGGGACTTGTGTGTGTGGGTATCTATCTATTTTTCGTTAGTATATGGATTTGTGGATACGTCCGCATGATGTCAGCTGCAAATTGCTTTTCCGTATTTCAACTTGATTTCCAAAGATATAAATTCTAACTTAATTTATGAGCTGAGAAATTGAAGCCCCATCATCTCTGATTACGTGTGTGTGTGTGGGCTAATGTTTATGGCATGTATTAAAATAATTCTTGAAAAACTTTTTCGGCTAAAGCGAAAAATCTCTATACACCGAAAAGTGAGAAAAGAAAAGAACACGCAACGCCCACACAGGCGGACGTGGCTGGGCATCAGGCTATATAGAATATATAGAAGCCATTATAACCAACAGATACAGATTCAGGCACCGAAATCGAAACAGAAACAGAAATTAGCAGCCGTGTCATTGACGCAGTTCGAGAAATTTATGGCCAGAAGCGGCTGTGGAAAACTCGCCACGAAAATAAACTTCCGAATAGTGTTTAGACGTGAAAATTGGGCCAAGAATAATCGAAGGTTCTCCTGCCTGTGCGGATATATACAGTATAATCCGGGCATTGGTGCATCCGCCGACCTACAATCAACCTTCGGTCGATCTCACATATGTATAGAAGGACCCTCACATTTCGGTTATTAAAAAATCATTAAGAAGAGAAAAAGAGATAAAACCTGCGGACAAAAAGCGATGCAAATTGATATAGACCCAGACCCCAAAGACAAACAAGTTCAACAAGTTTTGTCCGTAGGTTTTGTTTTTTTTTTTTTTTTTTGTCAGTTTTATTTTTTCGGTTTTTGTTTCTGTTTCGTATCAAAAAGTGTTTTTGAAGGTTAAACTTGCCGAAAAAAAGCTGGAGAAACACTCTGAGAATCAGAGAAACCGTCAGTCTGTCAGTAGGAGAGAGTGAAGATTGAAAAACTGTTAATTTCCGAAGTTATCGCAGGTCCACTAAATATTTGTTCACATTTCATAAGTGTTTATGCAAGCTGAGTCAATACAAGAACGGAAAAGGCAGCTGTGCTGCCTGAAGAATTTTTGGGGCAATTTTAATTGCACCTGGAATAGGGTTTACGACTTCTGGGGGTTATTTCCAAGTTGAATTATTAAAAAAGTTACTATAAGTTCTTGTCAAAAGCAAGAGGAAATATTAATTTACACCTACAAAATTGTAAAGATTCTAAGAACAGCTACATCTAGATATAGGATAGTCTAACTAATTAACAAATTCGAGTTATTAATTTTATTAGACTCCCTTTTTTATGAAATCCTTCAGATAATTTACTACTGACGGACAAGAAGCTAAATAGAGACTAAATGTAATAGAAAACAATTATTGGATGATTAGATTCGATAAGATTAGAAGGCACAAATTGGCATATTAAAAAACTACTCATAGAAAATGAAATATATTGAATAGCACATTTATAACTCAACTTTTTAGCATAATTTGAACTGGTCATTCCGTCCCAATCAATTATCCGCTCTCAATAACTTATCCAGCCATCCATTTCCCAACACACATGCCCCACATTACGTAGAACCCATACCGAATCGAGAGTGTTTTGCTGATAAGACGACGAATATACAACAAATGTGTACAACGCTGCCAGTTCACAGTTGGCTGTTAAAGCGTATATTGTATATATTCTGTATTTGCAGTATATATTTAATACTTTTTTTTTAGATATGCGCGACTCATGGGAATCGTATACGAGAACGACGACTATATCAACTCGAGAGCGGCCGTCGACTCACACACGAAGTTAACCCGCACGGGGCAAAGTTATGACTAAGGCCAGGGCACACACAAGTTGGCTGCGACTGCCTCCGAGGGCCAAAAACAACAGCGAAAAGCAGACTTGTAACTCTCACCCCGCCGGCGACAAGTTAATGCATTTAAAGAAACATTTACGCAAGCCGAAGCCGTAGCAAAACATCGGTCAGTAACCGCTCGTTGGCTCTGCAACATTATACAATGCTCCTCTAACACCGCAGGGAGAAAAATAAAACAAGCCCAGGGCCCACCCCACAGCTATGACACATATATTTAACGATGCGGCCATAAAAAAAAGTGAAAGAAATAGGTGAAAACCGGGGAGGTTGCTATCAATAAATGAGATAAGATAGAAAGAGAGTTATGGGGGCCACACTCACAGGTATCTATATATATTTGCAAAAATATAAATATGATGGATCTTTTTATACTTTGCAAATTTACTTGGTGTTATTTGCCAAAGATTACCCAGTCGAACGGAAATAAATCTATTATTAAAATGTTGTGTTTCAAGTTGAAACTGCAGTTGGAAACAGGAAACTTTCCCGTCCACAAGCGAACCATAACCGAAAACACCGCCAAAAGATGGTAAGACTTAAATGTCAGCCATAAATGGCAATCGGCTAAATGATCGTTTGGCTCGGGATTATGTCATGCAGGTGGGTCGCAGATGGCTCTATTTTATTCTTTCGGCCAAAAACTACTCCAAACATTGAGTTTTGGCTTGCCTAATTAATTCTCATTGTCATCCATCTTGACTTGGTTAATTAATTTGGCAGTACACGATGCGTGGGCCGCAAATGTTTATCTTTTCTCTGCTCTTTTAATGTTTCTTGACTCGCTGACTGATTTCATTGACAGCTATTAGTGTTTTTTTTCTCCTTTGTGAAATCTCTTTCGAAAGTTGCTGCTTAGATAAAAGAAGTGATACATTCATATTCACTGCGGATTGCATTTTTCAGGCTACTGTCCCTTATTTGGTGTCTGTGTATAATTTGGCAAAGCTTTCGAATGGGTGCTGAAAAGATCTGCAGATCGATCTATATATGGTCCTATGGCTATGACTAATGGGAAAGCGGATGAAAACGAAGCGTGCCGAAAGCGTGAATAAATGAATTTAAAAGGGAAGAAGAGCGATCGGATTTCATGGCTTCATAAGTCAAGTTTCCGTGAATACAGAAAATATTATTCCCTTTTTTAAAAGATCAAAGATCAATATTTTCATTACTCTAGCTCTGGGAGATTACCCAATTCAAAGCAATTTAAGTATAGACCTTGGAAATCAACTTTATGGAAAAACCATTAACTTTAATCTCAGGCTTTCATTTTCTTTGAAAACCTTGCCCTAGTCCCTAGTGATCTCGACTTGTTTCAAATCAAATTCAAAGCTCTTTGTCACGTTTCTCTCTATCTACCGAATTCATATTCAAATTTTCGTTCACCCAGACAAATCAATTTCTTTAGACGTAAAACGCGATCATCACTAATTACGTCAGAGGTCGGAAAGCTATATAATGTGTGTATATACATATAACACTGAAAGAAGAGGCCGAAAAAATAAAAGCGAACGAGGGAAATCAAAAACAAAAATTCATAAATGAGAGCGCTGCTCTCCATCGCTCTCATATACTATTTTTTGGCATATTCGTAAACTTTTGCTTATCTTGAAAATACGAGAGCGCCACACAAAATTGAAATTCAAATACAAAGGCAAACACATCGAGGCGTTGAACACGATGAAGGAGAGTCAGAGCCACTAAATGCCCAACAAATTTTCATAGATTTCTGTGCCCAATTAATTTAATGTTTATATTTTGCTCTTTTTGGAACCGAAAATAGACGCCGGAGAGCGGGAGAGCGATATTTATAAAATTCAAAATTCCTCACAAAAATGCACAATTCACAAATGAGAATTGAGTTAATCTTTGAACTAATTTGTGTGCACATAATCACATTGCAGACACGCCTCGAAAGCCGCACAGTCTCTCGCTCTTTCCCCAAAAGGTTAAACAATCAATTCTGCCTTCAATTGATCTCAATTGTGCGTTGGACCAAGGGCCAGTCGAAGGGTTAAGCAGGCCGCTGTAGAGCTGGTGACAAAATCGATGGTGTAGACAAGCAAAACAAGATTTATATAATCTAAAATAGCATTAAAAATAATGAAATAAATTTTAGAACATAATAAAAACCTTTTTTTAAAAAGACAACCGATACTATCGCTTAAGTTTTGCATCTCTACGCTAATATTATATTTTTCATTATTATGCAAAAGTGTAAGAACTTTGTTGTTTGCTCTCACAGACAAAAAAAACATATATACATATATTGTTGAAGGGAAAAATAAAAGGAACTTATTTTTGGACTGCTTGCAGCACTTCCAAAATGCTGCCAAAATGGGGAGAGAGGTTTTTCGACTGCTGCTATTGGGGCTTTCTCATCTTTCTGTGTGTGCGTGTGGATGCACAGCTGCAGATACATCCAAAAAGATACATCCAAAATGTGCGGCAGCTGTCGCTTGTTATGGGAGATGCCACAGATACTCGGATGCTAGGAGGTACAACATCAACAACCAACGAAACACGTTCGAAATTTCTTTTTCAATTCGGTTGTGTGGCTGGTTGTGTGTTTTTGGCATGTGCTAAGAGAATTATGTTAGGGTACGCCAGCTCTATATAATTGAAGAAGCCATATTAGAAGGCAAATTAGGTGTAAAATAAATTGAAAAGGAATTTTTCCAAAAACAAACTATACTTTTAAAAAAAAATACGACTCCTAGACTTGCACATAAACCAATTTATAGGGAAAATGAAACAGATTCTAGTTTAAGTGATAACATTGACGTAATGTTCTAATCAGGCAAACAAAATTTGCAAGAAATCAAACTTTTCGGACCAAATTTGCTAAAAATTCGAAACTTTAAGCACCTTTAGAATTTCAGACTCCAGCTGGCACTGAGTCACCCTAATCTTACGATTCTTCCAACCACACATAGAGATTTGTTTTTTGTTTTCTTCTTTCTTCCCGACTTGTTTGCTGCCTCTGCTGGCGTCGCAGCTGCTCAGCGCTTATTGAAAAAAGCAAAAAAAAAAAAAAAAAAAACCATCGCAGGCGAAGAAAAGTTTTAGATATTTTTAGAAGACGAAAAAAAGACACGAGCACATGTTTCAAAATATCACAAAAGATGAAAACTAGAATGAAGGCGAGAGCCCAACGAAATTGAAATCTAAAATCTTTGAAAAGGAAGTGAATTGTTTACAAGAATGCAAAATATGGATATAAAACAGAAACCCAATGGAAGTATTTCTGGAAAAATTAGAGTATTCCTAAAATCATTATATTCCTTTCAAATCATAGGGATATTAGCTTAAATTGTTTAAAATAATTACATTATCTGAAGTATTTTTTGAACTTCAAAGTCTGTATTATAATATGTTCCATATAGTTTTAGTTAGTAAGCTGTTTACAAAGTTAATTACTTGTTCAGAAAAACCGTCTGTATCGATTTCTAGACAATACAAAATTTCATATATTTTCACAGCTAATGAAAAGTTTTTATTGTGGGCATTGCTTTGGAACTTATGCATTTTTTTCAAACGCACCTTAGACACCCTTTGCCTGAACTCTGACACCTTTTTGAGTGCTGTCATCTCGCATCAAACTTAAAACGCGAAGCGTACAAATAAACAAGTAAAAACAGCGATTTTTCCACACTTTCGACATTCGAATGTTCGGTGGGTGTGTGTCGTGGTGCTCCTATCGATATTTACGACCTATTGAGAAGAGCTTAAGGCACAAAACACTCGTACTACAACTCAAACATATATTTCTCACAGCGACCGTTTCTTTTTTCATCTTTCCTATTGCCGCATGGCTTTTGGCGAAAAATCGAATCGATTAGTCATGCCCAAAGTCCTCAAGTTTTCAACCCAATCCCCCTCTTTCTTGGCGTCTTTAGTTTGGGTTTCGATTCGAGTTAGAGTTTGAGTCTTTCGAGTGGCGCAGTAAAAGTGAATGACTTGTCAGAGAGTATTGAACAAATGGACAGAAATAACAATTCATTTTGGCATTTTCCAAACGATTTCTTTGACTCACATTTTACAGCAACACAATTTTTGACACTTTGGTCGATGATGATGATGGCATTTAAAAGTAAAAAAAAAAAGCGAAATGTGTCAAAGTTTTTGCTTTTGTTTTCTAGCAGAGCTAATTCAATTTGCATATCTCAAGCGTAGGAAAACGAAACAAATCGGAAAAATTATAATAACAATCTTTTTTTGCAACTGAAATCGAGACTGAAACCGATACTGAAACTCGGACTGAAATAAACATAAATTTTATGGTAACGGCTTGGCAAGAGTAAGGGGTTTTGGGTGGAGAACCATCGCATAAAAAAAACGTGACTTTTCAGTCTATGTATTTTGCATGTTGTGCGGGTACAGTGCGTTTCACGAGCTTGATTGGAAATAAAATCAAATTAAATTAAATTGGCGACAGACTTGAGTTAAGTAATTAAATAAGCACAGTAATTGTTTTAGATTAAAGAATTATGTCTGTTTTGTGTTGCCATTAAATAAGATTTCAAAACATTTACTGAGTTGGCTGATTAATTTTATTGTTTCTATTTATTATCACGTTGTACTAATACTACTGAGATGTACTGTTAAAAATCGCTTGGCTCAGATTTATTTATTTATTTCGCCTAGCCCTGGCCCGGCATTAGAATAAAAATTGCTAAATTAGCAATATATTTCAACACGACTTGCCAAAGTTGCTGTTTTTTTCAGTTAATTAACACTGCATGCAGACTAAATAACTGATATATCTTTAAGGCCCTTTCTCATATAATGCATAATTTATATTTTAAGCCTAATAAAGTGGAATGCCAATTCCCGTTTTCACTCTGACAAATTTCGGTTTGCAATTTGTTGAATTTTAATTATTATTTCACAGTTCATTAGCCTCAATTTCAATTTGATTTTCGGTCATTAGGCTTTTCAGTGAACCAAATAAACGAAATATTTTATTTTAACGGATTAAGCGGGGAACTCCTAAAAAATACTTTTTTTTTGTGCTTAAGCAATAGTTTATTTTAATTTTTACGGTTATTAAACGTTCTGAATTATAATCGTTAATTAGTTAAAATTTCTGATAATTTATGTTTATTAAGAGAACTTCTTGACTACTAAAAAAAATAAACTTTATATAAATCTTTAAATATTTTGTATAGTTAATTTAGCAGTATAGTTATATCTATTATTGTTCAAAAAAAAATCCCCAAGACTTTTGCTAGATAATTTTAACTATTTTTTAAATATTTTTACACAAATTCTTTATAATTCTGTGTCTTGGATAATAGGAACATATAAAAATATATATTTTTGAAATCTTAATACAACAACTAAACTTGTTTTCACATATCTTAGATGCTTCTCAAAGTTAATTCTAAAATTTCGTTAGCCAACAAATTTAAAATGTAAATAAGTTTTACATTTTAAAATGGTTTGAAAACTTAACTCTTTGAATTTCCATATTCGAAAATTAAACTGCAGTTCATTAATTCGAATACTTTCTCTAATAAGAACTTTCCTTGCTTGTTATTTTTTGCTTATATTTATGACATACAAATTACTAACTAGGTTTTTTAATTTAATTCCAATATTTATGAAAATTAAATTTCTGTAATACAAATATTTATTAAATACTTTTCAACTAACTTTTTTTTAATTTTTGTAATATAAACCGCTTTTTTCGTATAACTATTAAATATTTGTATCTTCTTTTAACACAATTTGTATATTTTTAATGCACTTTTTCAGTCTAACTGTTGGCACTTTTGCATTTTTTATGGGGTTTCTGCACTTTGTAGGAATTTTACTTAACTTTCTGCTGGCATTCTTTTATTTTCTACTAACTTCTTTTGAATAACTTTCCCTGTAAAAGTTAATTTTTCCCGTCATAAAAGAGAATTTCCGCCTTTTCACTTAACACCGAAAATTCGACAACAAAAAAACAAACAAAACCACAGAATAAGGCGGAGATAAAAAACAAAATAACAGACAAAAAACTAACTCAACTCAAGACGCTGGCGAAAGAGGAGAGACAACAAAATAACCAAAATAGAGTGACAGAGAGGAGACGAGAGGGAGTAAGAAGCAACGATATTTTTTGTTGGTTTCTTTGTTTTTGTTTTTTTAGTATAAACACCTTCGGTTGTCCAGCTGACTTGTTGTTGTTGTTGTAGTTGCTTGCTGCTGCTGTATTTGCTTGTTGTGTTCCTTCGTTTTGTTGGTAAATTAAAAAATGTATTTTTAACCTCTTTTGTTGCCTCTGCTGCTGAGTGTGCTTGTATGTGTAACTAAACACGCGCGATATTGAAGAAGTAGCTGTTGTTGTTGCTCTTGTTGCTTTTATCGCTGGCAGCGCTGCGACGTGACGTCATTAAGATGCCGGCGAATATAAAAAACAATAGCTTTTTACTCTGCAATTTTCCCGTACAACAATTCCCCTGCGGCTTCTCTTTTTGCACTATTTCTTGTAATTTTCTTTCGCTTGACACGACTTCTTGCCTCTGCAACTGCTTCTTCTTTTCTTCCTTTTTTCAACTGGCACACACTGATGTCACTTTACTCACACACGTGCACACACGTGCTTTCACGATATTTCGATAAACTTCCGAATTTCAATACAAGTTTGGGTTTGCTTTTTACGATATTTTAGCGCGCTTTTTAAGTTACACTTATTGCGATTTTGCAGATTGGTTTATGGTTGGATCTCTTTGTGATTATTAATTTTTGCGATGACTGTGCAAAAATGTTTCCTCTTTAGCTGAGTTAGTGTTTTTATTTTTTGTTTTGCTTCTTTATCTTTTGGTTTTTCTTTAGATTTTTCCTCCGGCAGGCGCAACTCGACTTTCACGAGCGAAGCGAATTTTGCGAAGGGAAAAAGCGGAGAAAAGCCGTTCGTTCGGTGCGAGTTTCAAAAGACGAATGAGCACAAAACGTAGAGCGCAAACGGGGATTTCCAAAATCTAGCGTTCGCGACTCGCGAGTGTTTTTCGGTTAGCAAGAGAGGAAAGCCACTCAAGAGAGCGAATGCGACTGTTATGCGTAAGGGTTTTAACAGAATTTTGACGATTTTATCTGGCAAAACTCAAAAATTGAGTGTCTTGCAGAGCGTTTACAGTGAGCGGGAACTTTAACATGGCTTTTTAGCAGCGCAGAATTGCTCACTCACTCAATTCTTGCGCTCTCGCGTACGCTTATTGGATTATTCCAACTGGAGTTGCTTGCGCTGCTGGCTGTGTGAGTGACCAAAATAAGAGAGCGGCGCGCCACAGAGCGTAAGAGTTTTCTCATTAAGTGTAATATTGAGTGGTTTTAGGGGGGTTTTCTTTGCGGCAGAGAAGATGGCTGAGCGGAAGGGGACAATGAGTTCAACGAAGGCGAGTTGACAATCAACTAATAGCTACTAAAAGGTTAACTTGGCCAAAAGCAGCAATACACCGGGTTTATTTTTTTGATTTTTTGGCGTAGGTTGCGGATCGTAAAAAACGTCAAAAGTAAAAGTTAGTTTCTTTAGCATTTTAATATTCAGAAATTAAGGCATAGAATCGATTTTTACTATAATTAAATTAATGTTTAGCGAAAATTTAATGGTTTTGTATTTATAATATGGTTAATTTTTTTTATATAATTAATTTAAATTTGATTAAATTTAAAATTTATTTATAGTATTTTCTAAATATTCCAATTTAAAAAATTAATTATATTGACATAGACTTTTTTTTATTTATTTGGTATATTCTTGAAATTTTTTATATAAAAAAAGGAGTAGTTAGACGCCTTCTCTTTCTAGCGAACATAAATGTATTTATTCATATATTTTTATTTCATATTATATAATTTATATTTATAGAAGTTTTACCTTATTTTTGAAGATTTTTCAAAAATTTAGTTCAGCCCTGATAGTTGCATTCTCAAGGTCATTAACTGATTCACAACGCAATGCTTTGCCTACCGGCTATTCCATTGTCGTAGGCTTTTTAGTTTAAGGGTATTTTATGCCGCATATTCAAATGTTTCTGAATATTGAATTTATTAATTTGTTATTTTATTTTGATAATTTAATATTTTAAGCTAATTTCAATGGGTGAAATCTTATACATGATATCTTGTACATTTTTAGGAATTTTTTAAGACTTATTTCTGCAGTTCATTTAATTATAATTTTTCAATTTTGGAATAACCCAATTTATAAATTAAATTCTTCAATTTTTGTAAACATATATAGTACATCTTCCTAATCAAAGTTTCTCAGTGCTTTTATTTGGAAGCAACAACACTATAGATTTATATTATTCTTGGGCACCTTTTGCTTGGCCCCGTCAAAGTCACCTTCAAAATGCGTTCGATATGTTCTAAATCATTTACGTAAATGCATCCCATCCATAACGGTATAGCTAAAGATCCGAATGCAGGCCCAGCAGAGCCAGAGCCAGAGCCAGAAATAGAAATATGTAACGCACATACACTCAGACACCCGCAGAACCGCAGAGAACTCTTGACATTTCTATGTCATAAATTTGTTCTTCGTCGTTCTTTGGATTTCTTTCTATTTTTTTTTTTTTTTGGCATCACAAACCGAAAAACATGTTAACACCACCCCCCACATAGCAATTAAAATATATGGGAAAAATTAGAGAGAAATATCGGCAGAGCAACAACCAAGCACTATAGGTTGGACTGGGTGCTGTGTGTAGGTTAATTGTAATAAAAAGTGAATGGAAAAACGATGGCAAGAACTAGAAATGAAGCCGAAGGAGAACCGGCATGTGAAAGCCACACGGGAAATTATTTTAATCCTATTTTAAAGCGGTTTTTTTGATGTTTCTTAAAATTTAGATGGAATAGGAAATTAGAAAGGAGTGACTTCTTATCTTTTTTTAAATGAAAAAGAAATAAAGCTTATCGTTATAGTTTATTTTAGAAAAACTATTTATTAAATAGCAAGTTAATTTTAATAAAAATGAATGAGCTATCAAAATTATCATATGATCAAAAATGTAAATTTTCCAAGAATCTTTACTACTAAAATCATGTATATTATTAATAGTTAATATTTGTAGTCGAATTTCTTTCTCTGCACACACACTCTCCGCTTAAGAAAAATCGACGGGGGCAACGTCGAGAAAGAGAGAGCGACCCCGAGACCAGATCGAGAAACGCCCCCGCAATGATTTTAGCTCCACTATATATCGCCATATTCCCCCGGCCACCTTTTACCCGGCTTATTATTAGAAGACTCTTCCACTCTTTTGGCGTTTGTGTGTGAGTTTACTATATTTAAACGTTTTCAAATTGGAGTTTTATTTTCTTTCTTTTTTTGTTTTTGGTAGAGTGACCCGAAAGAAAGCAAAATCAAGCAGGGGAGGGCAGAAAAAGTGGTAATGGAGCCACGGGGCAAGTGAAAGGTTTTCTCGATCCGCCAATGATGTACTCACAATAATTTACAAAGTTACAATGGGCCATTGAGGGAGTGGTAAGCATGGATAATGCAAGTAATGAGTTGTGTTTTGGCAATAATAAGGTTACAAAAAGGGGTTTGTTATGAGAGGATCGATTGGTTTTTTAAATGGATTAATTCTATTTTTTTTTTAAGATTTATTTAGAGTTTATAATATTACAAAATACATAAATTGAGTTGCTTTGGGTACTTAAAATTTCCCTTTTTAATAAAAATCTATACAAAATTGTAATAACAATTTAACAAATTACTTTTTTAAGCAACGAAATTAAATATAAAAGACATACAACAATCAATAAGTAGTGAAGATCCTTGAGTATCCCCAAAGATGTCAAAATTTAAGTTCCTTTAAATATTCATAAAGTATTCTTAACTTTAAAATTTCGGCCTTAATTCAATTTAAATCTTTGCTGCCAGCATAAATTTTAAACGATAAACTATCTAGTCACAAAATTATAAATAGTTTTTACAGCAGCAAGACCATAGATCTTTGTATTTATGGAAGATGTTATCGGCAAATGACATCTCATTTTCTCGGTACCCAAAAACGCCCACCGGAGCATCTTGAAAACTTCATTAACAACACATTTATCGGCTAGGGTCTTTGCTTAGCAGCAGCAGCATCAGCAGCAGCATCAGCCTTGTGGGCAGCTTGCGTCTGCCTCAGATACATTCACAGACACAGATGCAGATACAAAGCGCGAGCCGAAAGATACACGTAGTTGTGGAGCGCAAAACCGGTTCCAGGCAAAATAAAATCAAAAGTTGCGCAGACGTCGCCGACTCAGCTGCTCGGAGAGATGCCGCTGCTGCTCCGCTGACCAAGCTTAAGTTTTGGGAATAGCGGCGGGAGATGCAGGGCATCGGGATCGGGATTGGGTTTGGGTTTGGGTTCGGGAGTGGGGACTGCGGACTGCCGACTGTGCCGAGTGTGGCTAAAGTACATAAAAAGCAACGTTTTTGAGATCGCTGCACGGCGAGAAATGTCGTAGATTCTGGAAGCTAGTTTCTCAAGTAAGCTTAACGTGTTTTTAAGAGAAAAAAATATTAAAGATTAAGCTGGTCGAGTTGCAAGCCTTGAATATGGAACCAGAAATAGAGCTCCGAAATTATAAAAGAAAAAAAATTGTATCTTATCGATAAAATATCGCTGTTCAAAATTAAATAATCGAATTATCTGAAAATTTTCTATATCTATTTTTTATTTCTATAAAAATTTTTGGAAAAACTACAACAAATTCCATTTGAATATTCATACAAGTTTGTATAAGTTAATGAACTAAACTTTGTTTTAAGGTCTATAAATAAAATAGAAAAGGTAAAAAATATTTTTTTTAAATAAAAATAAAATAAATGGGTATTTTTTGTTCAAGATATTAAAATATTATTTAATACATATTGTAAGTATAAATAAAAGCTTGGAAAAAAATTTCTAAATAGAAAATAGTTTTTAATAAATATTTTTTTTGTATTATTTAATTGGAAGAAATAAGTTTAAAAAATCAGATTTCTTAAGAAAAAAAAAAGTTACATAAAAAAAAATTATATCCAAACAAATACACATGTATTTTGTTCCTATTTTTTTTAAATTTTCTAAACTTATGACTATCCTGACTTAAAAAAGATCTCACTGTTGTAGAACCTTCTTTCTTGCTTTGTTCTTTTTCCAGTGTAGATGCTGTATTTGCCGCCGCGTTCGAGTTGAGAGCAGTGTGTGAAGTGGAAGTAGTACTAGTGTAGGTAAATCAGTTTGGGGAGCCGGCATCGAAACGAGTTTACTTCTCGTTTCTGCTACACCTTTTGGCTTTGCTTTTGCGCCTTGTTCCTTGTTCCGTTCCCCGGTTCTCCTTTTGCCAGTTTCATTCCATTCCGATCCGTTTCGAGAACTAGTTTCAAGGCTTTTGCATTTGCTGGGTGTGCCTCAGTGTGTGTCTGTGTGTGTGGTGTAGCCAGTAGCGAAAAAGGAAAGATAAAAAAGAGCAAGGAAAAGAAAAAGGAGGTCGCCTGGCTCCACAAGAATGGAAACAAGGGATTGGCATTGGCTCGCGGGGAAGACAGAAAGAGAGAGAGAGATCGGAGAGCAAGAGCGAGTGCGAGAACGAAAGCAGGAAAACAAGTCCCACCCTAATCTAATTAGAAATAACGGCAAGAACAAGAAGACGCTATTATTTCTGCGCACGCGATCGCAACAAGAGACCGGCTAATGCATATAAATTGGCATAAATCAGCAAAAGTCACCTAGCCAGCCGAAAACCCAAAAGCCAAACCAGTTTAAAGCCAACCAGAGCGAGAGGGCGCTAGTGGGGGATCAGAATTCCAGATCAGATCATCGTCATGACGTAGTTGCAACCTGAGTCAGCCGCTCTCTTACGAAACTCCCAAAGAGTAACAGTGGGATCCCTGGAAACTGCGTGGGCGCCACTAAAGTTGACTCACTCGGAATTCCCCTGCACAGAGTTCTCCCCACAAATGGAGATCTTTCACTCAACTCAACACCCAGCTGAGCGGGGCTGCTCTTGAGTGACTGAGAGCCAGCGCCAGATAGTCTCGGAACAAGTGTTCCCACTTTTAATGGGGGTTGTTGGCGCTGCCTATCTTGAGTTGATAGCTGACAAAAAATAACTCAAAGGTAGATAATAGGGTTAAGGAATGGAAACTTAAGTAAATTTGAATTTAAATTTTTTGATTTTTAAGAAATGCAAAATTAATTGAATAGTTTAATATTTGAATATTTTTGTTTGATTAATAATTTTTTGTATATAATTAATTTAATTTTTAATTTTCATTTTATCACTTTTATTAATTTCTTTTTTATTTTTGTTAATTTTTAAATAGTATAATTATAAACGGAAAAAGAATAAATACTTATATATAAAAAATAATTCCAGAAAATATTACAACCCTTAAAAAACAAATGTTAAACATAAACAAACTCATAAATATAAAAAAAATCAACAATATATTTTACAAGTGACAAATCTTAAAATGAATGCATATTTTTATAATATTTTAATCTGAAATTATCCCTTAACTTGTTAATTATTTGTTTATTTTATTATACCCTTGCAGGGTATTATAATTTCAGTCAGAAGTTTGCAACGCAGTGAAGGAGACGTTTCCGACCCTATAAAGTATATATATTCTTGATCAGCATCAACAGCCGAGTCGATCTAGCCATGTCCGTCTGTCCGTCCGTCTGTCCGTCTGTCTGTCCGTCTGTCCGTCTGTCCGTTTCTACGCAAACTAGTCCCTCAGTTTTAAAGCTATCTTAATGAAACTTTGCATATAGTCTTCTATATACTCTCACTGCTATATATGTCGGAACGGGCCGGATCGGACGACTATATCATATAGCTGCCATACAAATGTTCGTTAAATTTTTAGAAAAAAAATTTTAACTTGGCTGTTTTTCAATATTATTGCATCATTTTTGAGATATAGCCTTTTTATATTATTCCAGAATTTTGGTAAAAATTTTATGGAAATCGGACGACTATATCTTATAGCTGCCATAGGAACGATCGGGAAATTAATAGAAAAAAAATTAAAGATTCGTTGTTTTTCAACGTATTTTCATCTACTCCGGGGTATAAGCTTATTTTATTATTCTAGAATTTTGGTATAAATTTCAAAAAAATCGGACAACTATATCATATAGCTGCCATATAAACCGATCGGTAGATGTAGAGAAAATGTAAAGCTGGGAATGCAAAACTGTAACTGTCAAACTGTAAACATAATAAGTATAGGTAAAATGTAATGAAATAATATCTGCAAGGGTATACAAACTTCGGCGTGCCGAAGTTAGCTTCCTTTCTTGTTTTTATAATAATTTTTGTATTCTTAAATCTTGTACTTCTTTAAATCCCACCAGCAGTATCTACTATTTAAGTTCCTCCCAAAAGTATGCAACATTTCGTAACCCTAGAATATTTCCATAGTCGTGGCCCCCCCCTTTCTCTTACTAATTAAATTTCGTGTGCACCTTTTCTCTCGATTCCTTATTTCTTTAGTTCGAATTAAACTTTGCCTTCGCCTTATTTTTCATTCCTATCGCCGCTCTCCATTCGAATTCAAATTAAGCAAATTACCGAAAATTTCGTTTGTTTTAAACCCCTCACCCCGGAGCCCACCCTCATGGTTAACCCCGCGGAGGGAGCTCTGCTTCCTCGCTTAATTACTTACAACTAACTGCAGGGTGCAAAGTTTGCACAGAAGCCACCCACCCAACGGGCGCTGCAATTGAAACCCAAGTTACAATCGCATATCAAGCCCTAAGACAAAAGGCAAACATGCTTGGCTGGATTTTCCCACACCCCCCCAGTCGCCCCGCTGCCGCCTTGGGGGAAATGGGAGGCGTGGCAGCCAGACTGCATAGTCGAAGAAATTACGCTGATTGAACACTAATTTATTTGTTTGTTTGTTTTAACATTTTCGTAGAGGGCGTAGGGGGAAAAGCGCGAGTGGAAAAGTGGATAAAAAGTTTTACCTTCGCCAAAGGTGCAAAATGCCAGCAGCTCTGCATGGGTGTGTGGGTGGTTGGATGTGGGTGGCCTTCCGCCACCACCCTAATGGCCTTAGGTCCGTGTGTCTGAACATCTTTTGGCTTTCTGTTGCCATTTGTAAGTGAGGTTCTTTGTCTCTGCCACTGCCGCTTTTTCGCTTAATTGGCTGTAATTGAAATCGGTGGAGGGAAAGGGGGCTACCCGATTTGATCGGCATATCGATTTCTAATTACAAGCAAACTCTGCTCTCTTTAGGACCCAAATTTTTGAGTTTACAGGTTACAGGTTAGGTTAAAGCAGTACCGAAGCAGTGCCAAGCAGTGCAGTTTTCAAGTTGAGTTCTTTGCTTTTTTCAGCAAACGCAAGGACGACCATTTTTTCTAGTTTGTGGTCGGGCGAGTCTTGTTTGCCCAAAAATTCTGATATATTCACGTTTTGGCTTTTGGGCCAGCAGTTTTGTTCGTTTTCTCTTAGTTTTTTTGCTATATTCTCCCGTTGCCCGTCTGATGTGGCGACCTTTTAGCGAACGTTTTCGCCATTTTCAGTTTTTTTCGCCCCTGGGCAGCAGCAGCGAGTATGTCGCTTTTCACCCATTTCATACCATCAGTTTTTCCACAGTTTTCCATTCTTTGTTTTTTTTTTTTTGGGAGTGTGTTGGGCTCCCTGCGATCACTGTTTGTGTTTTCCGAGTACTTGGTTATGGTAATCGAATTTCGAATTATTGCCCTGAGCTATATAGCGAATATATCTGGCTGGGGAGGAGGGATTGTGGGGAAACCCCGTGAATATGTCGCTTTATCCTTTTTTTTTTTCTTGTAGACCTTCCTTTGCGCTTTTCCTATGCCAAAAAAGTTTTTGTTTGTTGCGGAAGATGAATCTGTTTCTGTTATTTTTTATTTTTGGTTTTGGGTTCTGGCTTTCCTTCCATGCTTTTTTGTGTTTATTTTCCGAGGTTTTTCCTGTTTTCCGTCATCGTCGTGTTGTTGCTGTTGTTGTTTACATCCTGTTTTTGGCGCGCTTTGAATATTTTGCGGTGCATGTTTTGTCTTGCAATAATTTAATTGTCGGATTTGGCAGCTTAAAAGCAGGCGGACGCCCGGAAAATGCGGGGGCGTGTCAGGTGTGGAGTGTGTTACTAGTGTTTTGTTTGTTTGTTTGCACTGTTTGTCAGCCAGCGTGACACTATGTGCTTTATTTATGTTGGATTTGGCTTGCTGATGATGTTTGGCCTTTTGTGTTTTGTTTTCTTCTGACAAATTGCTTAAATTAGTTTGCCCAAGAGTGATTTTTTTTGTCAGTGCCTCCGGAATTCACATAAATCTTCTCAGTAACTCTAATTTTCCGATCTCAGCAGGCTGAATGTCAGAAACTTCATAACCTGGCCTAGCTCGTCGGCTCTAGGAATCATTCCAACGCTACAGCTCCAACCGACAACATCACAAAAAGTATTTTTGAATATTTTAGCCGAATTTTAAACTAGTAAGTGAAAATAAGTGCTGAAAATAATACAAAAAGAAAAATCTATAAATTATTTGAAAAAGTGTAAACAAAGTTTAGAAAATATTACGAAATTATTGACTTTGGCTAGGGACATTTCTGCTCTCACGAAGCCTTCCAAAGGCTCGCGATTGTCCACTATGTGTGCTGCACTTGCGTCCTAGCTCGTAAATTATCCAGGAATCGTACAGGTTTACTAATCGCCTTCGGCCTTCCCCTGTTCCAGGTCAACATGGGAGAAGATGCACCTCCAGAAGGCCCCCCCCAGCCCCGGAAGCACCACCAACCACGACCAAGAGTGGAGCCTCCATGATGTCTGTCAGTCCTTGGTTCACCACTGCCGTAGTTGCCGCCTATGCAGCCAGAGCCTTGTGGGTCAAGTTGCGTCACGCGGGATCGGCCTCTGGGAAACGGAAGCTGCTGAAGAACGAGCTTTCTAAGGAGCAGGAAGATGAAATCGATTCGGACCCCGAGGTGGATTCTGAATATGAGTACGAGGCCGGGGACAAGGGCGAGGTTGACGAAGCTCATGCTGTTGTGCAGGACGGGATGCTAAAGCACTTGGAATCTGACACTGGGCCCATGATTCGATCAAGCGAGTTGTAGCCGTCGTTAATTTTTAACCACCAAAGGATCAATACATCTACACGACACGAGACACTGAAGCACCTACACTAATTGTTGTAATGTTTGCGAATTCTTAGGGGAAGAAAGCCTGGCAACCATTTGGAATCTATAGCCAAATGGGGGACCATCAAATTGTTAGTTTAAAACATTCCAAATTCATGACATTTCGGTTTTATAACTCATACTGCTACGATGACAAAGTTGTAAATATATCTTTAAATTTTTAACCTGCACAAGACGAAAATTATTTGTGCTCGACGGAGGTTTTCAGTGTGAAAATTTAGGACTAAAAGGTTAATTCGGTGCAAAAATGCCCACTTTTCAATAAAATGTTGTGGCGAAACGGCTAAAGTAAGCTTAACGAATTAAATACCATATAATAACACAACATTTGAACAGTTTTTGATAAATTTTTTATTGAAAAATATTTAGAGGTAGAGGAGTTATAGGGAATCTCCCGAGGTCTCAAAAAAAAGTTGGTTTGCGGTGTACATCCTAACTGTCCACAGAATCATCCGATCTACAAAAATTATACATCATTCGTTAAAGGATAAGTGTCCCGAGGTATTCGCGAAGCGTTTTTATTTTTAAAATTTTTTCCCTAATTTTTATCAAAATTTGAAGTCAAAACCCCGATTTTTGACTAAAAAATTAAGTTAATTTGTTAATTAAATAATATAAGAAAATTAAAAATTAAAAAAAGCTCGACGTGAATACCTGTAGAATTATCTAAAGAAGTTATGTTCCAAATTTCAAACCGATTGGTTCAGTAGATTTTGAGTTATCGTGTACACCGATTTTCAAAATGGCATTTTTCAGGAGAGCGCTTTGAACTTTGTGATTCTCATGCATTATACACTGACCGACCTTCGTTCAACTCCGCATAACTTCGTCAATTTTACTATGATCGATGTAAAACTTGGACACAATATTCTTAAGATATTGAACTTTCAAAATAAAAAATAAAAATTAAACCAACGACAGACTGCAGCATCTATTTTTGGAGTTCCCCTATTATTATAGCTTATCCCTGCTTATATTGGCGACCTTTCCCGTTGATTTCTCATAATTGAGCTGCAATGACCTGCATCGTGTGTTGTTGGCTGAATGTCCTGAATCTTAGGTATATCCTCCACTCCCATTTTATATCCCCCACACATTTATATATAGATATATCCCCCTTGCCAGCTGCTTCAGGTCCAATTTGAGCTGCAATCCGTTTCGCTGGCAACTTGGCCAAGTTTCAGTTTCAGTTGCAATTACTTGGCGCACCTGAAGTGGAGGGTCAAAGGTGAGTTTGTCTGTGACGTTGCTAATTCTATCCACAGTTCCTTCCTACCCCTGATTATCTATCCCTTTTCCTCTGTATCCCTATTTTTTATACTCGGTTCTACAAGCCAAAGGCCTTAGCTGCTATGGCTCTTCACCCTCAGCTCTTAGTTAGCTTTTAGTTTATAACTATTTGTTAGCTTTAGATAAATAAATAAATAAATACTCGGTACTTGGTGAGTACAAGGTTATTATTTAGCCATGTCAGTCTGTTTATAAGTTCATTTTTCCGCCCGTGTAAATTCATCTCTGGAACTATAAGAACTAGAGCTACGAAATTTGGTGACAACATTCATAACCGTTGCACGCAGATGAAGATTGTTTTCCCTTTTCCATTTTCATTTCTTCCCTCTCAAAACACAAAAAATCACAAAAAGGATAACCCGTAGTAGTGAATTTTGGTTCAGAGTAAAAAAGGTTATAGAATAGTTAGACCGGAGTAATGTTTTTACCAAAATCTTTATTCTGTTGGTCATATTCAAGTTCCTTTGAACTTCACTCACAACAGTTTGGGTACCAGTTATTCCATACGAAATCTCCATATAGGTATGTATTTGTGAAATGGAATCTATTCATGTTCTCTTACTAAATCGCACTGATGGGGGAAGCATTTGTCTATAAAATAGTCCATCAGCTTTTTTGAGGGTGATATACGTTACAGTTTGCATAATTATCTTAATTGCAAGTCAGAGATGCGATTCATTTGCGGCTTATGGGCAATTTTGCAGAGCTGCAGTACTTGTCATCAGTAATTCATCAACATACAGGTCAGTGTTATTGATGAATCATCGATGAGAGTCCCTACAAGTTTGTGATGAAATTAACATGGGCATATCCTAGGTTGTAATCAGTAATTAGGTCGAAATTTGTTTTCAATTGATTGCTTAGTTAATTTGTTTTCACTTGAAAAACATAATATTAATTTAATGCGTAATTGTTGCTGTTATCAGTCTGATGTGGTGACCTTTTAGCGAACGTTTTCGTTGGGTTTCACCCATTTCACACCATCAGTTTTTCCACAGTTTTCCATTCTTTGTTTTTTTTTTTTGGGAGTGTTTTGGGCTCCCTGCGATCACTGTTTGTGTTTTCCGAGTACTTGGTTATGGTAATCGAATTTCGAATTATTGCCCTGAGCTATATAGCGAATATATCTGGCTGGGGAGGAGGGATTGTGGGGAAACCCCGTAAATATGTCGCTCTATTCTTTTCTCTTCTTATTTTGTAGACCTTCATTTGCAATTTTCCTATGCCAAAAAAGTTTTTGTTTGTTGCGAAAGATGAATCTGTTTCTGTATTTTTATTTTTGGTTTTCGGTTCTGGCTTTTCTTTTATGCTTTTTTGTGTTTATGTTGATGGTGGGTGTGTGTTTTCCGAGGTTTTCCCGTTTTCCGTCATCGTTGTGTTGCTGCTGTTGTTGTTTACATCCTGTTTTTGGCGCGCTTTGAATATTTTGCCGTGCATGTTTTGTCTTGCAATAATTTAATTGTCGGATTTGGCAGCTTAAAAGCAGGCGGACGCTCCTGCCGCTGCCCGGAAAATGCGGGGGCGTGGCAGGTGTGGAGTGTGGGTCGAGTGGTTGTTTGTTTATTTGTTTGTTTGCTCTGTTTGTTCATCTGTCCATCCGCCAGCCAGCGTGACACTCTGTGCTTTATTTATGTTGGATTTGTCTTGTTTGGTCTTTTGTGTTTTGTTTTCTTCTGAAAAATTGCTTAAATTAGTTTGCTTAAGAGTGATTTTTTGTTACTGTCCCGGAATTCACATAAATCATATCAGTAACTTTAATTTCTATCATAATGAAAATTTATAAATATTTTTTCGATCTAAGCAGGCTAAATGTCTAAAAGTTCATAACCTGGCCTAGCTCGTCAGCTCTAGGAATCATTCCAACGCTACAGCTCCAACCGACAACATCACAAAAAGTATTTTTGAATATTTTAGCCGAATTTTAAACTAGTAAGTAAAAAAAAGTGCTGAAAATACAAAAAGAAAAATCTATAAATTATTTGAAAAAGTGTAAACAAAGTTTAGAAAATATTACGAAATTATTCACTTTGGCTAGGGACATTTCTGCTCTCACGAAGCCTTCTAAAGGCTCGGGAGTATCTACTGTGTGCGCAGGACTTGTGTCCTAGCTCGTAAATTATCCAGGTTTACTAATCGCCTTCGGCCTTCCCCTGTTCCAGGTCAACATGGGAGAAGATGCACCTCCAGAAGGCCCCCCCCAGCCCCGGAAGCACCACCAACCACGACCAAGAGTGGAGCCTCCATGATGTCCGTCAGTCCTTGGTTCACCACTGCCGTAGTTGCCGCCTATGCAGCCAGAGCCTTGTGGGTCAAGTTGCGTCACGCGGGATCGGCCTCTGGGAAACGGAAGCTGCTGAAGAACGAGCTTTCTAAGGAGCAGGAAGATGAAATCGATTCGGACCCCGAGGTGGATTCTGAATATGAGTACGAGGCCGGGGACAAGGGCGAGGTTGACGAAGCTCATGCTGTTGTGCAGGACGGGATGCTAAAGCACTTGGAATCTGACACTGGGCCCATGATTCGATCAAGCGAGTTGTAGCCGTCGTTAATTTTTAACCACCAAAGGATCAATACATCTACACGACACGAGACACTGAAGCACCTACACTAATTGTTGTAATGTTTGCGAACTCTTAGGGGAAGAAAGCCTGGCAACCATTTGGAATCTATAGCCAAATGGGGGACCATCAAATTGTTAGTTTAAAACATTCAAAATTCATGACATTTCGGTTTTATAACTCGTACTGCTACGATGACAAAGTTGTAAATATATCTATAAATTTTTAACCTGGAAATGAATGCATTACTCTTGCCCGTAGGTTGCAGGTGGAATTTAAACACTAATAAAAGAATAAATGCAGTTTTTATACGCTCAAGATAGTGTGCAGTAGTTGGAACCAAGATCGAAAAATTGTTTTTGACCATATGTATTTATAATCTCTATCAGGTTGTTCTTGTCTGCTGGTTACCAGCTACAGAATATGGTGGCATTATAATTAACAATCAACTGGAGCTTAAAAATGTTCATTAACGACAGACTGCAGCATCTATTTTTGTAGTTTTCCTATTATATCTCAGCTTATATTGGTGAACTTTCCCGTTGATTTCTTTTAATTTAGCCGCAATGACCTGCATCGTGTGTTGTTGGCTGAATGTCCTGAGTCTTAGGTATATCCTCCACTCCCATTTTATATCACCCATACATCTATATATAGATATATCCCCCTTGCCAGCTGCTTCGGGTCCAATTTGAGCTGCAATCCGTTTCGCTGGCAACTTGGCCAAGTTTCAGTTTCAGTTGCAATTACTTGGCGCACCTGAAGTGGAGGGTCAAAGGTGAGTTTGTATGTTTGTATTGGCCGCTGTTGTTGCGCTGCGGTGACGCTGCTGATTCTATCCGCAGCTCCTTCCTATCCCTGATTTTCTAGAGATTTTCCCTTGCAGCCCGGATTTCCCTCCCCTTCTATCGCTTTTCTGTTGACTTTGCGCTTTCTATTTACGCTTCTGCTGTTGTTTGTTGAATTCCAACTGCAATTATGTGAATTTTTACCGTGCACAGCATAAAACATTTTCCCGGTAACTCTGCTCCGGAGAAGGTTCAAGCAGTTGAACCTGGCCCCGGCCTGCAGCAGCAGCAGCAGCTTCGGGGCCAGCAAGTTCTGGCCAAGCTCAAAGTCAAACAGCGTCGGCAAGGTAAACTGAGCTTGAAAGTCAATAAAGGGGGCGGAGAGTTCGAGTTGCAGAGGGTCTGAGTTGCCCAGATCTCCACCCGGTGAGTTTTGAAAAGCGTTTAAAGCGCGGCCCTTCTCAATAATTTTCTTTATTCACAAATACTTTCCTTTCGAATAAGCAGGCTTTGACGATTTCAAATACAAACGCCAGAACAATAAGGTATTTCTTTCAAATCTCTCGAAACTACTAAGAAAAATTTCCAATGCGCGTAACTTTTAGAAGTCTTTGTTTAAAAATCATAATTTTATGTACTATTATATTTGGATTTGCAAAGCAGAAAATCATGTCGGGTCGCACGAACAAGCCACAGGTGAGACTGCGACTAGGGGAGTTCATTGTTTGGTAGATTTGATCATAATCATAATATATACTGTATATGCAGACGGTTCTGACCGGTCTACTAGTTAATAGTAACGCCAAGCGTGTAAAGTGGAGACAACAACAGGTGGCGAAGGAGCAGCAACAGGCGTTGAAGCCGGAACCAGAGCTGAACCGTGTGGTTGCTCCCAGGAGATCCTATCGCCCTCACATCCTGAGGCCCTCGACAATCCGGCGAATCTGTCACTTGCCTGCCGAACAGTGCAACTCAACAACAGAGGCCAAGGTGAGGTATTTCAATTCGAAGTTCGGCAAATGCAGTCTGACCGTTTGCCACGAGGACATCTGTCCTTATACCGAAGTCTGCAAGAAACATAAGAAGAAAAAGCCGAAGCCTTCGATTTCGATGATGAAGTCTATACGCCGTATTGTCAAGAGATCCGCTAGGAACTCGGTGATTCCCAAGGGTAAGCTCAACAGCCGAATCGCCAAGAAAGCCACGAAGTCTCCGTAGACTCCACCTACTCTTCGCTCGCCACTGTAGTAAAGGACTTCAAGAACTGCTATATAGCTCTCTCATGCCAGTGAAGAATAGTGGGTATTTTGTATATTTTTACTTGATCAACTATGCGTCCTGGGAATAAAGTTTTAATACATGATCATAAGCACAAATAACTCCAAGTTCTTATTAGGATTACAGCCTGTTTTAGTAAAAAATCTAAACTTTAGCAACCTTCCGTCGAACCTTGAGAAACCCCATCGTGGCGAAAGCCCTCACTAGTTATTTTCACAGATTTTGGTATCCTTTCCCCCGCAATCTCTGGTTCTTCCTGGCATTCCATTGGTGTCACGTAGATTTTTCGTTTGCTTTGAGTTTTCAGTTACACGATTTTTTTCTGGGACGGGACGAGGCAGCGGCAACTAAGCAATCACCAAATAAAAAGCCATCGGACAGTTGCTGAGCTCAGTTTCAATTTTCACTTAAAACAAAGTTGGCAAAGCGGACGAGGCGCAGGACGCGGTGCAGGACGAGGTTCAGGAGTATAAAAACTGGCTGAACTGCATCTAGCATCTCGCGTCTCGTATCCGCATCCACATCGACATCCACATTCACATCCCAAGAATCCGAGGGTCGCTGGGGCGTTAACAAAGCGCGCGAGCCGGCTGCCAAATTGTTTTTGCAACTACACGTAGAGAAATGTGTTGTACTTGCAAATATATACATATTTATTTGGGTATTTATTCTTTGAATATTAGAATATTAGTTAAGCATAATTATAAGAATCAAAATGTTCTGTAAGTAAATTAAGCAGCTAAACGACCAAAACAAACGTTAAATTATAAAAATCTATTTGAAGCTAAAGCTTATCTTGGAAATTAATCATTATTTTCAACATTAAACTATTCAACTAAATAGGTTTTAAGTTTATTCACGCTTTTCTCAGTGCACCTGTTGTTGGGTTTTGTAATCAGAGCAAAGTAGACGCAGACACATGACGGAAGAACTGCCGCCCCTTCTGGCCCCTTCGACGGCTTACGTGATTTCAGGCTGCCAAATCACGGATCGGGTTGAGAGAAAATTGTGGATAAAAAATAAAGAAAAAAAAAAACCAAGGAAAAACGGAAAGACGAACAAAAAACAACAAAATTATGCTGTCGGGTTAGCCAAATATTTCTATATGTGCGCCCGCTGCCATGATGAACCAGAATCGGCAAAGGAAAAAGTAAACTATGGCCAGGATTTACAGAGAGATAGAGAGTGGCGGGAGCGGGGAAAGCTGGAAAAGTTTGTGTGGCTCACGTGACATTTGTTTTGGCAAGTGTCCTTTTCCCCCATTGTCGTCAAATCAGCGAACGTACCTGCAATGGAAAATCAAAAGAGTGGGTGGCCATTAGTAAAATTCGGGTTTTCTCAGCTTTAAGTTGTCTTTTGTAATGTGAGAATGTAAGCGAATATGGGTGTTAATAATATAAACCTCTAGAGACCATGTATATTAATTGTAATACCCAGTAAACTTGGCTCATAAACAGGCGACTAGATCTAGCCCACCAATTCTAGAGCTTTAGAGAGATCAAGAATATATAAAGCTTCTTCTAAACTTCTAAATACCCTAAAAGGGTATAAAAATGAGACTTCATTTCATCATAAGCACTTATACTATCCATCGACCGTTGTTGAATACTTGTTGTGTGATTTTCGAATGGAACTCTTTCCTACTAATTCGAGGCTAATCCATTCGATACACTACAAATTGATAAAAAGCTTAAACAAGAAAGGAAGCTAACTTCGGCACGCCGAAGTTTGTATACCCTTGCAGAATGGTTTTGATGTTTATATTATAGATTTAAATGCTGAAGACACTCAAAAAACAGAGTTTCATTACATTTTACCTATACTTATTATGTTTACAGTTTGACAGTTACAGATTTACATTCCCAGCTTTACATATTTTATACATTTACCTATCGCTTCTATGGCAGCTATAAGATATAGTTGTCCGATTTTCATAAAATTTTTACCAAAATTCTAGAATAATAAAAAAAGCTTATATCTCAGAGTAGATAAAAATACGTTGAAAAACAACGAAGTTATAATTTTTCTCCTATTAATATCCTGATCGTTCCTATGGCAGCTATAAGATGTAGTCGTCCGATTTTCATAAAACTTTTACCAAAATTCAAAAATAATATAATATGACTATATCTAAAAAATGGTGCAAAAATATTGAAACACAGCAAAGTTATAATTTTTTGTCTACAAATTTATCGAACATTTGTATGGGAGCTATATGATATAGTCGTCCGATCCGGCCCGTTCCGACATATATAGCAGTGAGAGTATATAGAAGACTATATGCAAAGTTTCATTCAGATAGCTTTAAAACTGAGGGACTAGTTTGCGTAGAAACAGACAGACGGACAGACGGACAGATGGACAGACGGACAGACGGACATGGCTATATCGACTCGGTTGTTGATGCTGATCAAGAATATATATACTTTATAGGGTCGGAAACGTCTCCTTCACTGCGTTGCAAACTTCTGACTGAAATTATAATACCCTGCAAGGGTATAAAAATACTTTTTCAGAAAATACAGGGCTTAATTTGTTGTGAGTTTTGACAAAAGTATAACCAAAAAAGATATACTAATCCAGATTTATAGTAAGACATAGTGCTTGTTGCATTTTTATGCATTTCTCATGTTTTTATTTATACAAAATTAATTTAGCTTTACATCACATATAACATTTTGATTAATTTGATTTTATTTTCTGAATTGATTTTCAAAAATACATTTATTTACATATTTAGCACATATGTGTCTCGTATTAAAACTACTCGGGGTCAAAATTTTTGTTTAAAATAGGTACAGGTGCTTCAAGTGCCTCCTCCGGAGATAGCTGAACATCATCGAATACCAGAGCAGTAGTAGTAGTAGTAACGGGCGGCAGCGTGTATAGTTTGCGAGTGCTTTTCATGCCAAGTAATACACTAATCTGGCCAGGTAGTTGTTCGCCATGGTATACAGCTCGAAGACACTGCAATTTTCTCAACGTATAGCCGTAGGGACATGACAATGACCCCACATTGGACACCATATGTGGCAAAACCAATAGAATAAAGACTGCCGAAGTTTTGAACAAGACAAGCGGGCATATCATTTCGTTCCTGGTTCAAAATAGCAACTGAAAAAATATCAGGTGTGCCTTAGTCATCGAAGGTGTGACAAATCCTTGCTAATTTAACAATAATGAATGCAATTTGTGTGTGAAAAAACTATTTAAAAGATTAGGTGAACTGAGAAAATTAAGAACTTTATGTGGTATAAAAACTAAGCTAATTCTACGAAAATGATTTTAAAATTTTTAATTCCATTTTGCAGCTACATTGCCCACAGATACTTTAATAGATACACATACCGTTAGAGCTTTTCCCGAGCCTATTCGCACTTGTCCCCGCATCTCCTCTCTTTCCCTCTACATCACGCTAATAGCCATTACGCCAGGATGTGTGTGTGTCGCCAACGGAAGGAGAGGCTGGGATGGGAGGAGGACGGGGTGGCACTTTCCCTGGTTAAGTTTGGTTAGCTGATTGTGCCGGCATTCCATCATTGCCTTTGCCGCTTCCCGTGTGCCGCTTTTAATGAGTGAAATGAAGTAGGATACTTGAATGCGGCAATTGCCTGCTAGGCGAGGGAAGCCGTAAAAGTTTTCGAGTGATCCCAGGACATAGAAAACTGAGGGGCACACACCTTAAACCATTTCAATGTTGTTATTTGGTTTATTTAAATTTGAAAATATATCAAACAAATATTGAAACATCTGTGTTTGTGTGTCTTTAAAAAAGTTCCCAAACGTCCCCAAACATTAAAGTAAGCTGAGATCAGTACTACTCCTTTATAGTACAATTGACATTTTATGAATTCTTTTTTACGGTGTATATGTATTATCTCCATGACTTTTTATCCTCCCCCTTTTCAGACATTAAGCGTTTGCCATTTGTCACTCAGGTGAGTTTTCCGCCGGACATCGTGGCGTATGCGTAATTTCTGCCAAGGAGCAAGGGAACTCAATTCTGAAACACACCGAGCTAGACCGATGAATAATAATACAGGGAAGAAATAACCAAATTGCTGAGGATTATGTATCAGAAATGTTTGAAATGAACTTATATGAAATATGAGTGAGTGAGAAATATGAAAAAAACTGCCTTAATAGGTAACTGAGATCTTTCTTAAGCCATATTGTTGTTTCCTGAGCTCAAAATTGGGTGAAAACCCTTCAAAAAAAAGACCATATTCAATGCCAAAGTCCGCGATAACTTGTAGAACTTTTTCCACCAAACAAAGATGAAAAGCGAGAAAGAAATGTTGCAGGTGGCAAATGTCAAAGCAGTGGACTCTGGCAGCTGAGGGACAGCAGTCTCGTCCTGCTCCTTTTTTTTTATGTTTGCCCGTTTGTTCGTTTGTGCCATTGTCGTTTGCGAACTGTCACACGGAAGAGAGTGCACTAAAAGTGTCGCCTTACGGCAACTGACTTGGAAAGATAATCACGAGGGGTGTGCAGCTTTTGATAAAGGTTTATCTGGGCTGGCGTTGCAGCTTACCTTTTTGGCCGGGCAACAGTTTCGGCTGACTGGCTAAGTTGGCTTCAAGTTGCCACCGACTTGACTGACTTGACTTTCATCATCATCATCGTCGTTTGCCATGGCAAAGGGGATAAAAGGGGAGGAAAAAGAAGGAGTATCTCGTGATGTCGCGACAACTTTCGTTTTTTACCCCTTTTTGCAGTTGCTCGTCTTGTTTAGCATTTAATTATTTGAAAAATGCGCCAAGGCGTTTTGAATTACAGCAAGCTGAGAAGCAGGAAGGAAATCGGATTGGATAGGATGTGGACAGGGCTTAAAGAAGACCGTTAGTAATAAGGGTTAACTCTAGGAAAGTAGTTGTATCATTCGTCGAAAGTCGTCAGTTTGACTAACATTGAAAGCGTCAAAATGTTGCGGCCCTGGTTGCCAAATGACATGCTTTCTCAGTTCTGATTCGGTTGCCACTCTGCCTCCTGTCTTCTTGGTCAAAATTTTCACATCTCCGCATCAACTTCAACTCAAGAACTGAATGAAACTTTTGCTTATCTGCGTCACAACCACAAAACCGAATACCGACTCCAG